TGGGTATGAACTGAAAACTCAGAGTAACACATATGGGTATCAATATTCATATGCAAGAACAAGGACACATGTCAAAATCAAATAAAAACGACTTTTGGGTCATCGGCCATTTGGGATTTTGTAAACGTCTGCTACTCTCCTTGTATGCTAACCAATTGAGAGCTAACAGCTACTTCTCAGTTACTTCCCAGTTTTACTTTACTTTTCCCTCTGTCTTACATCCTGATTTGGTAGCTAGGGATTGGACCTGTGACCTTCTTGGTAGAGGAAAACCCTAGATGAGAAAAAAGCCCTTTACCAATTCAGAACTGTACCCGCTCTAAAACATAATAGTCTTACAGAGCTTCCTAGAACACCGAGATGTGAAGCAACTTGCCCAGGGTCACATGGCCAGTATGAATGAGAGAGAAAAAATAAATAATCATGAGAAAGGTCATAAAACATCCATTAAGATACACTTAGAGACCAGATACTACTCTTGCCCTTTGAACAAAAAAACACAGTCTGAATTTTGACCATAAAATATATTGCTCTTGAGTCCCTAAAATCTGTACCACTATTTCTAATTTTGCATGAACACATCCTCTCATTTGAAGCTCATCTTCCCTATGGTTTCATGCTAGAGGTACTGAATGAAATTATTTTCATTGTGAAAATTCCACATAAACCCGTAGACTATACTCTATTGGCTAGACTTGACAGCATGAAAACCTAATCCACATTCTCACTGTGGGAATATATTCCCACTTTAGCTCTTAAAATACCTATACCTCCTCTCATGTTGGGAATATGGCATAGTCCAAAATGTACTGGACTTGGATCACGTGACACCTACTATATATCTAACACTGTCCTGATCCCTCCATAGCTGTTAATGTGTTTTCTCTCCTGAAATTGAACTTGCTACCTTTTTTAATCTGTTGTATCCTCTATTAAAATATAAACTCTTTGAATACAGGGGCATTTGATTTTTTTTTAATTCACTAACACAGTGTGCCACCTTGAACACCATAGGCACATGTTTGTTGAATCTATGAAATGAACTAATGAATTGATATCTACTGTTAGAAGGAGCCATTGCAAATAGCACATTTCAATTATCATCAACGTTGTTTCTCTTCCCTAAGGTTTAGTTAACTTATAAATTAATTCATACAGATTAACAAATATTTTGGAACACGTATGTACATTTTACTGAGTGCTATATGGTACATAACAAAATCTAATGGATATCTCAAAGGTTTATTTGGAACTCAGAACACATTTCCCTAGAGAAATACTCAAATATATAAATGAATCTATGATGAAATCCATTCAGAAGTTTCCTCCAATGATGCAGCCCAAAAACTTATCCATGTCTGCCTATTCTATGCCATTCTTGTCTACATCATTCTGAAAAATCAGTACAGAGGGGTTCCACCCAAGATTCTGGAGGCCTTCCTCACTTGTACCAAGGTAGCACTATCTGCTATGTATTGCTCTCACCACAGCCCATGTTCTCTTCCTGTTGTACCGTTCTTTGATGAGAGCCTTTACTCCTCTTTCTCTTTAAGGGTTCTTCATTGGGTGCAGCATGTTCATACCCATCTTGTACCTTTCCTTTGCCTCAGGACGATATTTGGCTTTGGATCTTTAGAGGAGACAGTGGTGTTCCAGTTCTCACAATCATATAATACTAGTGAAAAGTTTCTACTGAAAACCTGGGCCTTTGGTTTTATGGGAAGGTCAGGATCAGTAGAAGTGCTTTAGTTTTCTCCGATACTCCTTTTCAACTCTGGGCCCCTAGCCAATTGGCCATCTGTCCCAGATACATATACTTACTGTGCAAGTCCTACTGGGTGCAAGTAGAAATCTTGTCAATAGATATTCTTCTTCCGTTTAGTCCATCTTATATTGATAGATAGTCCAAACACCTCTGAGGGACTACATATCTTCCAGGAAGCTCTGTAATATCTTGGGACTTGATGCAATCAACACAATGTCATCAACAAACAGAAGCATCTGGACAATCCACAAAGGTTTCCTCCTTGACCTGGACTGTGTTAGATCTCCTCTACCACAGCAGGAATGCTTTTGGCAAACATACATTACCCTGTTTTAGGCCTCACCTAAAATTAGGAGAGTCACTGAACGGGGTTTAATTTTGCTAATACATCTTCTGTTTCTGACATATAACTGGAGATGCTTTGTTGTAATAGAGTCTGTAAGGCAATGTTTTATCTATCAAAACAAATGCTTTTTTTGTAATCAATACAAAGTAATCTTATGGGACCTTCAATCAATTGTGAGATGTGCTACAGTGTTATGTATCATTTTTGAAAGAAAGCCTGCTTATTCCCTACTACTACCCTCATCCAGGGTGCATTTAATTCATATATAAATGATCTCCATAAAGATTTCATATAGACGAAGAGTGAGTATATAGGATGGGAGTTAATGATGTTCTTTTTATTACTTTTTCCATATTAATAAGGTTCAAGGTTTTTTTACATTCCTTTGGTATCTTCTCTTCCCTCAGATTTCCTGATCTATCAGTCCTTCAATGCCTTTGTAATTGTATTTGTCTCCAGGATGGAGCTCCACTCTATGTAAATTGATCCAGTCTGGCTGCTTATTCTGTTTTTGCTTTTGTTTTTTCCCTTTGGTACCCTTTCTCTCTCCTCTATAAACCCCTCAGGGATTGTGATGCTAGGGTCTAAGTGTGATGGTTCCACTGTCCTTGAAGAATAAAACAGTTTGTTTAAATTATTTTTTTGCAAATCTTTTCCATTTTAATTCTGTTTGCAGTACTCATTTTCATACTTGAATGCCTTTAAAAATGACTCTGCAAAGCCAAGTATCTTGCCAAACTTTTTTTAAATTGGTTTTACCCTCCACTGCTTTTCTCCGCTTTATGAGATGATACTGCTAACAATCATCCATCAACCTTCTTAAGAGTTTACAGAGAAGTTTATGTTCTAACCCAGTATTGCCTTTGGCTGACATCTCTCTCCATTTGGTAAGTAAGGGAAATGTTTGCTGACAAAGGCACTTTCTGGGTGCTTCTGGTTTGCTTGTTGTAGCAACTAATTTGCTTTAGCTTTACTTCTGGATGAAATTATTACAATCAATGTCAAATTTTTTTGTATATTTTCCACTTTTAATTTTTCAATAGTTTATTTAAGTAATTCAGAGTAAGTCATTTCAATTGCACCATATCTTTTCTCATTACTGTTCTTTTCTTCTTATTTAATATAAATTCTGATCTAAGACAAGTTGAACGTCTAACTGCACAGACAGCCAAGTCAAAGATAACTCCCAAATCAATAACTAGTTTTTTATGTCTGTTAAAAGGTAGTCAATTTCATTATCTGTCATATTATTTGGATCAAATGAGATAATGTGTAGATAGTACAGTACAAATCTAAAAGCACGATATAAGTGTTAGCTATAATAAAACAATAATAAAATAATTATTGGTGGTGGTACTAATAGCTGTTATCATCAAACTAGTCATTATTATAACCATTTCTAATACATGCCAATTCTTTTTTTTTTTTTTAAGAAAATGTTCATCACATAAAAGTGTCTTAAATGGTGTTTAGGTTCCCAGGCTAGCCATTAAAAGACTATTTAATCCATGATACAGGAAACACTGAATTGAGAGCCAGGAGACAAGTGCTTAGTCCCAGCTCAGCAACTCACTAGACAAGTGACTTTAAATATTTATGTTTAACAAATATTCAACAAATATTCATCAAGTACCTATTTTCCATGTGAAGAGCATTATGGGAGAACATATATATATATATATATATATAAAGTTTATATTAAGATCTAGTCCCTTCCCTCACAGAATGTATAGTCTAATGGAAGGATAATACATTCATAAATAGCTAAACAAGACATGATAAGAGACGTATGAAGTGCTTTGTGGATGCCAAGAGAGAAAAGACAATTACCAACAAAAGCTATCAAGGAAAGCTTCTTGGAGGAGGTAATAACATTTAAGATAAGGATGCACCGGTTTGTATGCAACAGTCAAAGAAGGCAGGAAGGGGGCATACCAGGCATAGGGGAACAGCATAAACAAAAATATAAAAATAACAATGGCAATTAAATAAACAGCGTAGAAGGACAGGAAGTGGTCTAGTTGGATTGTGGCAGAGTATGTGAATAAGGAGTCATATAAGCTGAACCTGGAAAGGAGGGTGGCACTAGCTTATGAATCACCGTGAATGTCAACTAAAGGAATATGTACCTTGATAAGCAATGAGGAATCACTGAAGGGTTTTGAACAAGAGTGTGCCAAGGTCAAATCTATATGAAAGGAAGGTAAATCTTATAACTCGCTAAAAGATAGTTTAATGAGGGGATCAAGTATAGGTAGGAAGTCTGTTAGGAGTCAGTTATTACACTAGGCCCTTAGCCTCAAGCGCCTCAATTTCTTCATCTGAAAAAAAAAAAAAATGGAGGGTTTGGCTTTGATGATCTTTAAGGTCACTTCCAGGCATAAAATACTGTCGTTTGATGAAATTTCATCAGTGGGGATTTCGATAGTAGGAGGTGAGTTGGAGGGTGTAAGGAATGACGACAGTGGTTTGTACATAGAGATATCATATATTATAAGGCAAGAGTTTGCAATCTGGAGATGCTTCTCCAGGCTCTCTGCCCACAACAAACTTACCATTTAGATTTTAAAACGGATTCTTGCTATATTTTCTGTACTTCTGTTCTAAGCCAACAGTTGACCAAAATATATGGCAAGATTCAGATTTATTCATAAGAACATCTCCTCTTTACGGTATTTTATTAGACCAAAGGCAACACTTTAATTGTGTTATTAGTACTTAAAACAGTCATTTTAATTTTGAGAAGAAACACTATTAACTGGTTTTTTTTTTCTGGTTTTTGTTTTTGTGTTTTTTTTGGGGGGGGGGGTTTGCGGTTACAAGTAGAGACAGAACACTGCCAGGACTGTTATAGCCATTTCCCATGGCCCACTTTTCTCTAAGTCTTACCTTGGTGATTTAAGGCGACTCGGGTAGGTTGTTCTTGGAATCCAGGTTCCACTAGCTTGCTCTGACCGTGAGTAGAAGTCTGATCTACCTTGTCCTAAAAAAGCAGAAAAGCCTAATTAAAACATGAATTTCATATTCTCCAGGAACTATAAGTTCTTACGCATTGTGTGAAATCTCCAACATATGGATCTATGGTCTCATAATGTTACAACTTCAATCCTATCTATATAGGGACTCATTGTCCCTATATCCCTTAAGTCCATCACATTTACCTAATGTTCCGGGGACCTGGCTCTCATTCTCCTGAAATCTTCTTATAAACAACAAAAAGACTGTGGGCTACTCATCAGTCATCTTCATAATACTCTAACTGATAGGAAACTAACTATAAAATGACATTAGGCATAGAACAGTTATTTTAGAGCTAGAAGAGAGCTTAATCCAACCTCCTTATTATATAGATGAAGAAACTTAGGGCCAGAGAGCTCAGACGATGTGCCCAAAGTCACACAGGTAATAATCATCAAAGGCAGAGTTGAACCCAGGTCCTCAAACTCCAAGAAGACCCCGTTGGTAGAAGTGAGGTGCTCGATTTCTCAGGAGTGCTAGAATAAATATGAACTAATGTTTCTGGTACAAATGATTTTTCTTGAATGGACATTTTAAAAGAATTACTACCAGTGTTTGAATCCAACAGGCAAAGAAGGCAGGAATGGGCCTGTTGGGCATAGGGAACAGCATAAAGAAAAGCATATAATCAACAATGGCGATGAAGCAAACAATGTACTAAAACATTAGCTATTCAGAAGCTGCTCTGGTCTGCCTGCCTATTGTCTTGCATTCTAATTTCTACATTCTAATTTCATACAGCACAAGAGTCTTCTATAATGACTATAGATATTTTAGAGTAAGTCCTGATTCCACCTAGGGCAGATGTCTAGTGAAAGTAGTCTTAAAGAGTTTCTTCGACAAAATACTTCAGTTCAGAAATTTAATATACAAAATCTTATAATCAATCCTTCAATCAATCAATATTTATTAAGTGTCTACTATATGCTAGGCAATATGCGAAGTGCTAGAGATACAAAGAGGGGTAAAAGACAGTCTTTGCCCTCAAGGAGCTTAGAATCTAATGGAGGAGAAAACAAGCAAACAAATATAGGCAAACAAGCTACATATAGGATAAATAGGAAATAATTAACTGGGGGAAGGCACTAGAATTAAGAGGGGCTAGGGAAGGCTTCTTGGAGAAAGTGGGATTTTAGTTGGGACTTTAAGGAAACCAGGGAGGTCTGTGGTCTGAGCAGAGAGGGGAGAGTGCTCCAGGCATGGGGGGACAGTCAAACAAAATATCCAGAGTGAGGAGATGGAAGACTAAAGAGGCCGGTGTCACTGGATCAAAGGGTATGTTTTGGGAAGTAAGGTAGAAGTCTAGAAGGGAGGAAGGGGCTGAAATATGAAGGGCTTTGAAGGTCAAACAGAGCATTTTGTATTTGATCCCAGATGTCATAGGGAGTCACTAGAGTTTATTGGATATGGGAGGGACATGGCTGGACCTGTGCTTTAGTGGTTGAATGGAGGATGGACTGGAGTGGGGAGAGACTTGAGGCAGGCAGACCCACCAGCACGTTATTACAATAGTCCAGGTGGGAGGTGATGAGGGCCTGCACCACAGTGGTGACAGTGTCAGAAGAGAGAAGGAAGCATATTCAGTAGATGTTGAAAAGTTGAAAGGCAACAGATTGGATATAAGAAATAGGATATATGGGGAACAGAATTGGCTATGAGCCAGAGTGAGGAGTAGGGGATGATACCTAGGTTTCTAGCCTGAGGGACAGGGAGGATGGTGTTGCAGGTATACAGAAGGTAGGAGGAGGGGAAGGTTTAGGAAGAAAGATAATGAATGAGTTCTGTTTTAGATATATTGAGTTTAAGATGTCTACTAGACATGCAGTTCAAGTTGTCTGAAAGCCAGACTGGAGGTCAGCAGAGAGGCTGAGGCAAGACAGGTAGATTTGAGAACCATCAGCATATAGAGGATAATTAAATCCATGTTAGCTGATGAAATCACCAAGTGAAGTAGAACAAAGGAAGCAGAGAAGAAGAGGGCTCAGGATAGAGCCCTGTGGGAGATTGACGGCTGGAGGGAATGATCTGGATGAGATTCCAGCAAAGAAGAGAGAGCAGGGGTGGTCAGCTAGGTAGGAGGAGAACCAAGCAATAGTGGTGTCCCAAAAACGTAAAGAGAAGAGAGTGTCACGGAAGAGAGGGTGATCAACAGTGTCACTGACTGCACAGAGAATGAGGATCGAGAAAAGACCATGGATTGGGCAATAAACTCTGGTAACTCTGGAGAGAGCTGTTTTGATGCAGCCAGACTCTAAGGGGTTAAGAAGAGAATAAGAGGAGAGAAAGTAGAATCACCTACCATAGACAGTCTTTTCTAGGAGTTTAGCCACAAAGGGCAAAAGAGATTTAGGACAATAGTTAACAGGGATATTAGTAAGGGTTTTTTCAAGATAAGGGAGACAAAAGGGAATGAGAGCCAGCAGCCAGGGGAGAGATTGAAAATAAGTGATAAGAGTGTGAATGATCGAGGGGACAATCTTTTGAAGAAGACAGGATGAAATGGGATCACTTGAGTAGGTGAATAGGTTAGCCTTGGTAAAGCATAAAGCAATCTCATCCTGTGAGATAGGGTTCATGAAGGAGAAATGGCTGCAAAAGGCATATGAGTGATAAGAAATGGGGAAGAGGAGAAAAGAAGGAGCTGATGGGATAGACTCAGTTTTTTTTCTGTAAAATATGAGATGAGTTTCTCAGAGAGTGAGGGGATGGGGAGCCATTAGAGGTTTAAGAAGAGAGGAAAATGTTTACAAGAGCTATTGTGGAGAGTGGGATAGTGAGTTGATAAGGGAGGTCTAGTAAGATTGCCTAGCAGCAGCGAGGGCCCACTTGAGATTGTGTGACATCAGTTTGTAGCGGAACCAGTCAGAACAGTTGCAGGATTTTCTCCATCTTCATTCAGTAGCACATGTTTGAATGGTAAGAGGGATCCAAGGTTGAGACTTGGTCAGATACAATTGGTGAAATGATGAAAAAGAGGACGATGTAGAGTTGAATTGGCTGACCAATATATGAATAAATACAAGGCCTCACAGATAACTCTGGATGAGGATCAAAACTGGAGGCAAAATGTCCTTATTTTAAGGGGGTTTAAAATTTTTTTAAATTATTATTGAGATATGTACTGATCAAAAATTTTAAAAGAGTAATAATACTAATATCTAGTATTTATATAGAGCTTAAAGATTTAAAGAGTGCTTTACATGTTATATCCTTTGATCCACACAACAACTCAGCAAAAAGTAGGTGTTATGATCATTTGTATTTTGTAGATGAGGAAACTGAGGCATAGAGAGCTTATTAAGTGACTTGTCCAAGGTCACACAGCTAGTGTCTGTGACCACTTAACTGCAAAGCAGCAGAACATGAAGAATGGAGATACACCAGACAGAAGCTGGAACCACCAGAACAGAAGTCGCAAAACTAGGGCCCAGTCCTGGTTCTGCTATTTACTAGTTGAGTGGCCTTAAGTAAATTCCTTGACTTCTCTCAGTGGAAGACTATCATATCAGATGGGAAACATAATACTTGCAACACACACACACACCACACTGGGTGGTTAGGAGGGTTGTTGGGAGGTTCGCACGGGCAAGATGCTATGTAATCCTGCAAAAACTTTACTGATTTTTGTTTCAATCATTTTTTCCCCCTGGGGTGAGGAAGAAAAAAATAAACGTTTGACCAGGGAGAGGGAGTGTGTAGGGAGAACGTTGTGGGGAGAAATGTGCTAAGGAGAGAATGCATTCCAGACAAGAAGGAAAGCTTGGGCAAAGGTGCGGAGATGGGAGATGGAAAGTGACATGTGAGGAAGCCCGTTTGGTTGGATTAAAGAGGATGTAAAAGGGAGTAACTTACAACAAAGCTATAAAAACAAGTTGGATCTCAGCTCTGAAGGACTTTAAATTTGAAACAGAGGAGTCTGTATTAATTAGAGGTATCAAGAGTTCCAAGATCCTGGTCCACAATCCTATGTGAAATAATCCACTTACCTATAAAGCCCTTCTGAGGTTACTGTGTTCCAATCCAATCCAGAAGATGTCTTAGAATAAATAAGAATTCATGTGAAAGTAGGAAAAGTAGCTCCTGGACTTGCCTAATGTTTCTTCTGACCTCTAGGCCTGTCTCATGCCCAGAATAGATATATCTAGACAACTAATATCTTTCCATACACACCCAAAAGGACGTTCCTTATCTAGAGTTCACTTATCTGGAGAATTTAACTATCAAGAACACAGTAAAAACCAGGAAGGTAAGCAAAAAAGGCCTCTGAACAACCAAAGCAAGTGTCATAAAGTCCAAGCACTAAAATTCATGCATTTACCTCATAGGGAGTTCTCATAACATCACTTACTCAGAGCCTATTTATTCTTAATTTACACAAAATTCTAATAAATTTAATTAACTTATTTCCCAGCTCACAGTGACTCAGAAGTAGTTGGAGATGCTAGAGAAGAAGGAAAATACTGACAGCAGCAGGAATTAATGTGTAATTTGTTAAAAATTAGAATTGGGCAAATGGAAGCTAATGACTCTATGAGAGAGCAAGAATCGGTCAAACAAAAACAAAAGAATAAAAAAATAGATGCAAATGTAAAATACTTCATTGGTAAAACAACTGACCTGGAAAACTGATCCAGGAGAGACCATTTAAAAATTATTGGTCTAACTGAAAATCACTATGAAAAAAGAGCCTGGATGGTATTTTTCAGGAAATCATCAAGGAAAACTGCCCTGAGGTCCTAGAACCAGAGAGTAAAATAGCCATAGAAAGAATCCACTGATCACCTCCTGAAAGAGATCCCAAATTGAAAACACCAAGGAATATAGTAGCCAAATTCCAAAATTACCAGGTCAAAGAGAAAATACAGCAAGCAGACAGAAAGAAACAATTTAAATATCATGGAACCACAGTCAGGATTATGCAGGACTTTGCAGCTTCTACATCAAAAGACTGTAGGGTGTGGAATA